TTACTTTGAAGCGTCAGCAATTTAGATTTCCGCGATAAATCTTATTTCATTTTCTTCAATGTTTCTTGGAATTTTCGATTTTAGAGAATATTTATTTCTGAATATGACCGAGTTGGTGGAAAAATTTCGCGACATCGAGGAGTGGACACTTGCAACGGATAGTCGTTTATTGAAGTGCATCGAATCCCTTTCTGAAGTGAGTGTTCCATCCTTTTTCTGCTATAATTTTAGAACAATTTTTTTCGAATCGGAATCAATTTGTTTTGGCGGGAAATTTTGACCCTGTGTTTTGCTCCCCACGTCTACTGAACAGTAAAAAAATACCGGAGTTGATTGTCTACCGTAGATTACAGTTTCTCACGTGCGTTTATTCAATTGGAAACAATATTATTCTGTTTCTCGCGGATTTTGAGCGAAATGTGTTGCAAAACCCGTTCATTTCGCTTCGAATCTTTTTGTAGTTTTTCTCGACGATGACATATGGTTGCTTTTCGAAATCAAGCAGAGACAAGAAACTGTACAGTTCGTCTGTGAAGTACGGTATATTTTCCTTGTTGTAGGGCATCCTGAACAAACTTGAAACTGTAAAAACAAGAGTTGATCGTTTGGCGGACGAGACGGAACGAGTGGGAATCTGCGTAGAAAATGCGAGCAACTCCTTCCTGTGCCTTTCAAATACTCAGTTCATCGAAAACCGGGTTTACGAGGAAGACCCGTCTACTTTTGCCGTACCAGTTATCGACAAGGTAACCTCCTAGAATATAATTTCCTTTAATGGGTAATCGTTTATTTTTGACGACGTGCGCGTCATGAGATTGTATTTTTTCAGTTTATCTGTCTTACAAACGGAAGATAACAAGAATAATTTGTTTTTGTGTTGATGCATTCGTGAGATTCGTCCGAAGTCCTTTGTCGCATGTCTTCTGTCGATCGCGATTAACTGGGAAGTGGTCACGTATTCACTTGATCATTCGACGTAAGGTGTTAGATTTTAGCGCGATGTTTTCAAAAATTTATAAATTCCGGCTTAATAAATTCCGGCTTAAGATGATTTTTTTATGTAATTTTCAATATAATCCGGACACACACAATTCTAAGACGATTTCCTGCTCTCTAAGTAGAAAACTGAAGCAATCCACATTCCCCGATCTTAACTCTTCTTGAAAAATGTAAATTTCCACCTCAGGGATTCAGTGCTACTTTCGAGTCATTGATTTAATAGTCTGTACTGTCGAAGATTTGGCTAAATTTTTGTCCACCCTTGATTTATCTGAGATTTTCAAAAATTTTAAAGATGATAAACTCGGAATGCATTGATGAATGAAATGCTGATGTTTCCGACGTTGCTCGATTTTCTCCTCCATTATCCCCGGTAACATATTTGAAAAAATATGGGAGAAGGAATGATCTAATCAATTCTTTCAATGATCTGATTGAAACTGCTCGACTTATGCTCCAGAAAATGTGTGAACAAGTGAAAAAATCGGCGTGCGTTCAGAAATCATACGCCATTTTCGGATTTACTGTCAAATACGAAAAAAAATTAAATAAAACTTTATAAACAAGTACTATGGCTTTTGCCTTGAGGCTTGCAAAAAAATGCTGTTGAAATTCATTATTCACGGGAGAAGCGCGAACATTTTTAAAATCTCTCATAAAAAGTCTGATTTCCATAATTTCGGAAATATCGTGGGAATAAAGCAGTTGTCACGCTGTTGCTGAGGAATTTTCCGTTGCGTATAACCGTTGAATAATACTGATCTCATCAGTGAGACATTCCGGAAGTGTTGTATTTGCCATCATAACGGTCGCGCTCTTCCAGTAGCACTTCATGAAGACTGACTGTTTTTGCTGGGTTGTTTGTAGACGGCGAAGGAGAAAAAGGCGTCGATGTCGCTTCAGGTAAAATACGCAGAAGCTGTGAAATACGGGATGGAGGCGTTAAACACGGCCTTCGAGCG